ATTTCAGTCAGTCTGCCTGTTCTGTTCCCTGCTCTGTCTCTGCTGAATCCTCTCACCTTCCCACACATATGGCCTGTACCGGTTCTTGAATAAATAAATCTTTAAAAAAAAGAGCTTTATTTTTATATATATAATACATATATATGTATTTTTTTTTTTATACAAGAACCAGGGTACAGGCTAGATGCGTGGGAGGATGAGAGGATTCACCAGAGACAGAGCGGGAAACAGAACAGGCAGACTGAAGAAATACACAGCTGAGGGGAGCAGCGGGCGAGACAGGAGAGGTCTGCTTCACCATGTGGGATTCTCACCGGCTGTCCAGGATTGAACCCATGCTGCAGAGGCTATGGACAGCTTCACAGCATTGCTCTCAACCACCTGTGCCACTAGGGAGGCCCAAAAAAAGAACTTTAAAAAGCAGATGAATTTAATGTTACAGTTTTTTGTCTAAAGAAATAAAACTTGAACTGAAGTTGCTTTCTGTACATCTTATATTTTCTCCCTTTGTATTTAAGTAAACTGGAAGTCAAAAAAATATAGGAAGGTATATTTTGAGCATCAGAATGAATGTTTTAAACAATGGAGTAAGCTTTTGTTAAAGGTTGCACATTCTCCTTTCTTGTCCATTTGAAGCCCAAAGATAGATACCTCTTTCCTTGTGTATTTTCTTCCAATTATGGAAAGATAAAAAGAAAATCTTAAGATAAAGAGAAAATCTTAAGATATGAAAATCTTAAGATAAGATAAGAGGAGACCTTAAAGGAAATGCCAGTAGCTATCTCCCTGGTCCCTGGGTTCGCTCTGTGACATCCCACCAGTTGTATTTCACTGTGGAGCTTACTAATGAATGTCATCAATACAGGTTGCTAACTAACTCATGAGGCAGGACATTTTTTTTTTTTTAAAGATTTATTTATTTATTTATATATACAAGTACTGGGTACAATCAGAAGCACGGAGAGTGAGATAATTCACCAGAGCCAGAGTGGGGAACAGACCAGGCAGACTGACGAAATACACTGCTGAGGGGAGCAGCAGGCTTGGCAGGTGAGGTCTGCGCGCCATGTGGCACCCTCTCCAGCAGCCTCGAACCAGCTCTGAGGAGGCTGCGGCCAGCTTCACAGCCCAGCGTTCAACTGCTGCACCACCTGGGAGGCCCAGGACATTTTTGTTTTCACTCAAATTGTTAAAAGATCGATGGCTCATTTTATTAAATTGAATTTTTTCTTTTTTGTTTGACTCCTGCTCTCATAGTGCCAAACTCAAAAATTCTATTTCCTCTTCCAGAATTTGAAAGCAACTGTTATTTCAGTCAATAGTTCTTTCTTATGCTTCTCTAGCCTATGTCTTTCCCTGCCCGTTTCTTAAGTGACATAACTTTAGGCTCCTGGATAAGAATGGATTGTCTCCTTAGAAAGACTTCCAGGTTTTCTACTGTGGCTACTGCTCATAATTGGCCATGATGTTCTCTCCATGTTGTGAGAACTGAATAAAACCATGATGAGAAACTCTTTTGCAAAGTCTAAGACTATTATACAACAAATGGAAAAAACAGGCTCATTGTTCTCTTCTTTTCCTGTATCTACCACTCCTCATATTCCCCAAACTCTTGCGAACTTGCTTTTGCAAAGCCAACAGAGCCTGACAAGTAAAGCAGGTTCTAATGGGCTGTCCAGCAGTTCTCTTCCATTGCACACCTGGACCCCCAAAAGGAGAAATTCTCTGGGAGTAATGAGAACTCATGACGTCAAACCCTCCGGATCCCCTGCTGAGCACATGCTGAGTCTCTTCCCTACAAATGAACATGCAACCCATGAAGAGGCATGAACAGCCACTACACCTGCACACTGGGAAGTCCCCCCGCCTTCTCCCTGAGCAATCCAGATAGCTATGTGTCCTCTACTCACCCTTTCTAGCACTTAGCTTTGTTTGGGATGGGGAGGGAGGTTTGAGCCAAGTGTCCTCTCCATACTTGACAATAATATCATATACTAAAGATTTTTCCCTACCTAAAATTGTTGTATCATAGTTTGGCAGGCTGTGCACAATGGGTCCACATTAGGTCTGGTTATAAGATGATATCACCACCCCACACCTTTCAATATGGCATTTGGCTTTTTCATAGGTTATTCATAACACAAAAGATGGGTAATTGTATTTGTAAAGCTAGTATGAGCATGGATGTTTTCAGTTGTATTTTTCTTGCATGGTTCTCTATTGTACACATGGTCTTTTGTGGTTTTCCCCTCCTTTTACATATAGTTACAGACTTTATAAACCAGAACGCCTATGAGAAATACCTGGCATCCCATTGTCATCAGGTATACCTTATTACTAGAAAAATGAATTTTTTTAGTATTCTACAATTCATAAATCTTTATCTCAGGCACATTGAGAATGCTGTGGCAGTGATATTCAAGAGAATCGGATGTGTCTTTGTAGTGTAATTGTACCATATAAATGTTTGCTAGGAATGAAAATTAGGGAATTTGGAAAAATGAACTCCTTGTATAAAAACCCAATAGTGTTGCGATCATCCCAATTTATTGGAAAGAGAGAATTTATTCACTTATTTATGCAGCAAACATTCAGTCACTAATTCTTTGTGCTGAGCAGGCATCTTTAAGTTTCAGGTGGTTAGTCTTCATCATATGGGCAGCACTTTGTTCATTTGAGGTCTTTAATATTTAATTAATAAGTATTGTCTGAAGATCTTGGATGAAAATCATTTTCACATTATAGAAAAGTAAGGAAATAGCTGAAAAGCTTCCTCCTTCTAGACCTCCCCCTCCATTAAAATGAGGCAAATTCAATCATTTATATTCTCATTACCTCTAACTTTTTAACATTTAAATAAACTGTTATTTTGTTATTGGTTTGTTATTTGTGAAAGGACATGATTGTTTTTTATTTTGATTACTCTCTTTTGCCTTACAAATATCTTTCCTTCCTCATATTTCCAACCAGACTCATAACAAATATTCAAGAGATATCTTTTTATCTTATTTAATGACATGGGCTTTAACCCTCATAACCATTCACAGGAATTTTGAAACCTGTTTAAACACTTAAGAGTAGTATATGGCAACTGCCTCTGTAGTGCCATTTTGCTCTGTTATTGATTTGCATTTGATGAGCCTGTAATAGTAATAATTGCTTTCATTCACATTCTCTTGGATGCTTTCAAAGACATCCATGTGCTTCATTTGACATTCATAGACATGTAAGATTGACAAAGGTATGGTGTTTCTCCATTTTGCTGATGTGAAAACCACAGTCCAAAAGCACACAACTTAACAGAGGAACTAGACCTCAAGAATGCCCCTGGGGCTTTTTCCAGTATTTCATAAACATGTCTCTGCTCTGCATCTAAAGAAGATTTGAGGTTCTCCTAGGGGAGGCTTTATATTTTAAAAAAATGGATAGTGATTTTCCTTTCCAGAGGCATGTGATAATAAATTTATGGTATTCAAATGTTAAACAATAGAAGAATGGCTAAATAAATTATGAGATATGCATACATTAGGATATTATTGACTATTAAAATTAATGTTTTCAAAGAATGTATAATGATATAGGGAACTGCTCTTGATCATATCAATGTCTCAAGAGAGAATTGGGATACTAAACAGCAGGATATCTAATTTAAAAAAAAAAACTATACATGTGAGGAAACGTCTAGAAGTATACCAAAATGTTAGCAGAGTTTTCACTTGACAGTAGAATTATGATTTACTTTTCTTTGTTTATATCTTTCTGAATTTGCCTTTTCTTTCTTCTGTGAATGTGTATAATTTTTTTAAATTTTATTTTTATATTCCCCATACAATTGCAACCCCCTTATTTTGACCCCAATTCCTCCTTTCCCCCCTTCCCCCCCGTCCCCCAGTGTGTCTCTGGTTCATAGTTGTTTGTTGATTTTGATATTTTCTTTCTTATAGTTATTCTTTTTCCTTGTCCCTTATTTAGGTTTTCTAGATTCCTGCTATGAGTGAGACCATCCAGTATTTTTCTTTTTCTTTCTAGCTTATTACGCTGATCATGATGCCTTCCAGCTCCATCCATGAACATGTATAATTTAAAAAAAATGTTATTTTAATTATAATATATAGATTGTTTATTTTAGCTAGAGGAATCCTTTGCGTGATTCTTACTATTTTTCATTTATAAATCAAATCATAGTCCATTATGTTTTCTTTTCACCTTGTTCTCATCTCTTCCTCTCCCTACTCCCTCTAGATGCCTCAGTGCTATGGTCAGGTTTCAAGTCAAACCTTATATTTTAATGTGCTGATTGTTTTTATTATTATTAGTGTATAACCTTGAATTAAAGAAGTAAATAATATTATATATGTACATGTATATGTATATGTATGGTTTAAATCCTAATCTTACCATTTTGTTAGTGACCTTGAAAAAGTTGTTTAATTACTTTGTTCCTCAGTTTTCCCCTTCATAAAATGGGGATAATATTGTTATCAACCTCCTAGATTATTGTGAAGATTAGATATGTCAGTTAATGCATGTAAATCATTCAGAACAGTCCTAGAACTCAACAAATGACAGGCATTAGTAGTGGTGGTGGCAGTATTCTATAATTCATCATGTAACTTATCATTCCCATATGCTTTGTGTGTGTGTGTGTATGTGCCCCTTTGATTCTTGTAAGGAAGCAAAGACTCAGAGAACTTCTATAACTTTTCCAGGTCCCAAGTCTAGCAAACACTGGGCAGTTGGGCTAGAGTTCGTAACCTCTAACTCCTGTCTCAGTCAAGTGAGTTTTAGGGGCCATAGCTCTGACGGAATTCTTGCTCCAAAGTATATTTGTGAGAAATTTGAACTCAGAGATCAAGAAGATAATGTGAATCTGCAGGGATTTGCCTGTTCCTAGTCATACTCTCCTGCTCTGCCCCTGCCATTCCAGAAATGCCACCTTAAAATCAAATTTTAAGGACACGAGTTCTATATGTAAAACGTGTCTGTTTTTCTACCTTCAGGAATGAGAGGAGAATCTTATTTCATTGGAATGAGGAACCCAGGGCAGCAGGGGCACATCCCAGAAGATGGAGGACTTTTCTTGCTCTGCTGCATAGACAGAGACTGGGCTGTCACTCGGTGTTTTGCAGAGGAAGCCTTTCAAGCCATCACTGACTTCAATGACCTGCCTAACTCCCTGTTTGCATGCAACGTTCACCAGTCAGTGTTTGAAGGAGAAGAGAGCAAGGTAATAAATTTTTCTGCTCCTTAAATATGGGGAGAGGTAGCATTATCTCAAAATAGCTCCATTGCTCATTTGTGGTTGATGTTTTGTTTTGAAGTTCTGGAGAATGTCCGGTGGGCTCCATTCTTGGCATGTATAGCAGGAGGAGAAAAGTCTGTTGCTATTATCAGCTAACTTTGGAGATACTCATGACAAGTTGTAGATTTGACTGTATCGAATAAAATCTTATACTCTGTGATTCAAAGATCTATTCAACAAAACTAGTGAGTGTTAGGAATAGTGAATGCAGGAGCTAGCCCTTTGACTAGGAAGCAGATATCATAAAAATGTTTTCATTTCTCCCATTCTGCCAAAACCGTATTTGCCTTTTTAAAAAACAGTACAAGCTTTCTTTCACCCTTATCCCTCCTACAGTTTGATAGCCTTCTAAAAATAGCTTCTTATATCGTGGTACAAGGCCTACAGCAGTTATCAGAAAGGTAAGTTGGTTGGCCATTGCTTTATTCGCTAATTGAATGAAGTGCTTATCTAGTTTATTTGACGTGACTATGGAATGGGATCTATACACAAGCCAGAAAATAAATTTCTCACTTTAAAAGACAACCTAGATTTAGTGTAAGTGTTCTTGGAAATAAGAGTAAATATTCAGTTTAGAGATCTTTTAAAATTCATTTCAGATTTCTCTAACCTTTTAAACTGGAGGTCTGAATGGATTGACCTTTTGTGAAAAGTGAATTCCTTATCCACTTTTACATTGTTGTGTAAAATGTATACAATGTTTTTAGGGGAAGAACCTTTGTTTCTAAACTTAAGTATGTGGTGGCTCTATGTGAAATCATTAGTTGGATTTATGACTCCTGTTTCACAAACTTGGGCTGTTTTTCCCAATTGCTGAAGTTCATACTCTTGTCTGAAATGCTTACGGGATTTTTTTTCTGGGTTTTATTGGTTTTGGAAGCAATCTGATAATTTACAAAGGTTGTAGATTAGGGATTATTTTGAGCCATGTAAAGATAGTTTTCTAAGGATTATAGGACAGGGAGAGGGACAGGCGCCTCCTCCAGGTCTCCTTCTGGCTCCATCCTGCTTCCTTCCTTTCTCAGTCTCCTCTGCATCCTCTTCTCTTCCTGCTCAGCTCCACCCTCCCTTGGGTGGGGCAGGGAACCTGGAACCTCCGCCTTTCCTGGGGACCACCCTATTACAAGGATACTATTTTCTAGTTCAACAGTTGAAAGAATAGGCTAAAAGCAGCTTGAAATCCAAGGATTTATATGTGATTAGAACATCCAGTGCTGTGATCACCAGACTTTTTTGAAGCAAGAAATGGTGCAATAGCCTCTTGAAAGAAGCTGAATTTTGCTGTTGGACTATGATAAGGTAATGATACAGATTCAGATCTACTCAGAACAAGAAATTTCTCCTGAAATCTACTTGACATGAGCTATAAAACAAAGTCCCATTTTTTGAAATTCTATCACCTATTTATCTAAATATCAATAATTAGAAGGATTTTTCTTAGAATTATAATAGGTGTTTTGATTCTTTTCTGATTCAGTACTCCCAGTAGACTGAAACAATAAGATCTAGAAAAGAGCTAATCTCATTCACGAATGCTGTGCAGGAATCAACTGAACAAAACTGCCTCCCCTGGTGATGCAGCAGTTGAGCGCTGGGTTGTGAGGCTGTCCGCAGCCTCTGCAGTGCCAGTTCGATCCCCAGGCACCGGGGAGGGTCCCACCAAAAAAAAAACAAAAAACAAAAACTCAACTGAACCAGAACTGGGGACAGAAAATGTCAGAAGCTTAGGAAGAGTTCATGAGAATCTGCCCATATCTATTTGATATTCTGGATGTGATTAAACAAGATTCTCATTAATTTGTATACAAAATGATACATTGCAGCTTGGCAAATAGTATTTAGTTTTAAAGTGACCTTGATAAAATATTGAGGTGAAGTCAGCAAGTGTAGTTCAATGGAACTAGGTTCAAATCTTTTAGATCACACTTTTACAGTCATGGAGGTGAATTTTATAATTGGTCATGGTCTACATAATTAAATTTAGTAATTCAATTAGAAAGTCTTCCACCTTGGTGGGATTTAATAGCTTCCATTTGAGTAGAGTCTCAAGAATATCAAACACTGTGATTTAGATTCAGCTTTTATTTAATTATATGTTTGACATAACAATGCAAGATGATCAGATACCAAGGGAAGTAATAGAGGCCAGGAGGCATACTCTTTGGGACTCAAGAAAAAAGATTTGGGAGAGCCCTGTGGCTGCTTATTTTCACTACCATGTGTTTCTCTTCCATTTTTTCTTACTATTTCAATAAAACTACTTGTGTTATATGCCATTCTTTGAGAATTTTCTTCCCACAAGATTTGAAGCCCATGAATCTGAGCCATGAAGTCTGGTGACGATTATCTCCCAAAGGATGGACATTTTAGGCACTGTGCTAAATTGGTGGGGAGATATTTTTAGTTAGAGGGAAAGGAAGCAAGAAGCATTTGCAGCACTCCTTGTATTTGCCCGTGGGCAATGCTGACCATAGTGCTTGTTTAAAATATTTGGGTTTGGAAAGATGCATTCAGCAGCCTGGGATTACGTCAAGGAGATAAGACATCAGAAATGATACTTAATATTCATTTCAGGTTCAGATGGGTAGGTGGGTACATATATAACTTGTTTGGTGCAATATATTGGGACCATTGTTTCCTGATGTTGATGGATTTAGCTAGCTTATTTGTTTATTCGTTATTTTTTGTTTTTGTTTTTTCTTTTTTGCAGTTATTGTAAGGCATACATTTTATCTTCCTTTGCTGGGTAGAAATTAATACTCTTACTTTCTGACAGCATAGATGAGTCTTGCCACAATCTCTTCTCTTTTCCCTCAGCTCTTTGAGACTCTTTTCCTAAGCCCTTTTCCTTTTTGAAGTCATTCAGAAGGTATTGAATTGGACTGCTCTTACAAGTAACACTGCAGGATATGATCTACTGGCTTTATTTGTTTCTGCTTATCAAAGTGATAAATATTCTGATATGCTCATTTCTGCTATCCTATTTCAATTCTCTGTTCTGACACCTACAGAGCATTTTTTAAACAGCATGTTGAAGGCCATGATGTTCATTCCACTGTTCTGTTAGGCAGAAATCTGTGAGATTGTATTTTGATTTGATGCTTTTGCAAGGAGTGAGCACATACTTCAGTGTGGCTTGTTGTGGTCCAGATGGTTGAGATTTGTTTATATAACACAAAAGAGAACCGGAGCTAGAGGAAATTGGCATCTGAAACCAATAAATGCAGATTGCTGTTTGCATGCTACAGCTTGAAGCATAAATATTTTTGTATGAAACACATTTAGAACTGGGATCTTCACAGCTTCCAACACCTAAAAGTTACGAAGGTTCATTTTCCTTTGGTGTGTTTTCTGGAGCTTGTCATTCTGAATCCAGCTGTGCTACATCAGTCATTGTAAGTCTGGTGAGGCTGGAGAGGCATCCTGTGGACTTCCCCTTGTACTGAAGACAGATAAGGGTCTGCTGAAACAGTCACCAAGAAACTGTCAGTCAAGCTCAATTCAATAAAGAGACACCAGAATGGTGACTTGGTAAATGGCCTTCAAAAATATGAATTCATTCAGTTATATAAAATGGTAATAGTAATCATAGCAGCAGCAGCAAACAAATATAGCATATATACATATAGCACATATAGCTCTTCCAAGTGCTTTATGAACATTAATTTCCATGACAACCCTAGAAGGACCATGTCTTTCTGCCTCCCTACCACTTGGGCACATGGCAGGATTGTATTCCCTGGGCACCTCTGGCTAATTTTGCCCAATGTATAAGTGGAAATGATCATGTCACTTCTAGGCCATGCATTTAATTGCTAATGTTTAACCCTAAAGAATGCCCTTTATCACTCTGCTGAGATACATGAGGCATTGAGCTACATAGCTTCTACTCAGGCATTTAGGTCATGGATGACATAATGACACAGAGTCCTGGTCAACCTATGATAAAGCTTTAACATCAAGAGAGAAAAAAAAGCCTTTGCTATGTAGAGCCACTGGATTTGGGGTTTGTTAACAGAGTATAATTAGCTATCTAGGTTGATATGATTATACCACCTTTCAGGTGAGCACATTGAGGCATCGAGATGTTGTCCATGGTCTCATGGCTAGAAGTGGCAGAGCAAGGATTCAAACCTAGGCTGCAAGTTACAGAGGCCACACTCTTAAACATTATGCAATATTGCCTCTCAATGTGCAAGTATTTATTGAAAACAGGTATGATACTTGGTCTGGTGATGTGATGTGAACAAGATAGGCATAAACTTGTTCAATTTAAAGCCTACTGGGGAAAGTAATTCAAAATAAGGACAAACATAATAAATACAGTGATGCTAAATAAAAAGGGCATTAACATATTTTCACTATATTCAAACTGCCTTATACAAACATGTACAAGGCTTAGTTTTTTGTTTGTTTAATAAGAGGACATTTCAGCAAACCATTAAAGAATGTATTCTACCAAAATTGACATGAGGCCAGAGATCTAGCTCCACTGATCTCAATGCATTGCAAGTGGCAAGAGTGATTCTAACATCCAAAACAGGACATTTTTCATTCAACAGATCACTCTAAATAGAAGTCCTTAGTGGCTTCCCTGGTGGTGCAAGGAGTTGAGCACCGCACTATGAAGCAGTCCACAGCCTCTATATAGCACGAGTTCAATCCCTGGCCGGCCAGGAGAAACCCACATGGTGAAACTCTCCTGTGTCGCCTACTGCTCCCCTCAGCCATGTATTTCAGTCAGTCTGCCTGTTCTGTTCCCCACTCTGTCTGTGTTGGATCCTCTCACCCCCTGCGTCTCTGGCCTGTACCCCAGCTCTTGCATGCATAGGTGAATGAATCTTTAAAAAAGAAAAAAATAAATAAATAGAAGCCCTTAGCTCTGCTGAGGATATGTAGATCTAGCCTAATGCAGGCAGCATTGT